CGCGCGCGCGCGCGCCTGCGCTAGCGCGTTTCCTCACTACAGGAGGTGTAATCCAGGACCTTCTACAAACTAGGAGGGCTCTGGCGGTGAACTTCATTCATCCCCAGCCCTCATTTCTTCACCAACTATGTCGTCTAACCTCTTGATATATGCTAAAGCACTGTTTTCTGCCAAAAAGTTCTGGCTTTCCGGGTCAAGAGATCCTGCAGACATTTCCAAACCTTCCACTTACCTGCTGCTTTCTTCCCTGCTGACAGCCTTGCCTGTGAAAGCTTTGATCTCTGCTCCCCTGTGGATACGTTCCCTTTAAGGGAGGCAGGGGAGCTTTCATGCTGGGGCTAGCATGACAAGTGACTACCAGAAGTCCCTGTGGCCTGGCTGGCCAGCCTGAATTGTGCTCCTGCACGTAGGCTGCAGTTATAGGCGCCTTGGGGCACAGGGCAATGGCCCGCCCCTCCCCCACGCCTGCCGGACCGTCCTTTCTAGGCGCCTTGGCGCACATGGCGATGGCCCGCCCCTCCCCCACGCCTGCCCGTCCATCCGTCCTTTCTTTCTTTCTTTTTTTCTTCCTTCCTTCCTTCCTTCCTAATTTCCTTCCTTTCTTTCTTTTTCTGGGCAGGCATTTGACAAAAAGCTTCACTGTGCCTGCTACTGGCTCTGCCACCGGGCCACAGGACCAAGCCGTGTCTAGAATTTTTTTTCCGGGTGCTGCAAACATGCCTAACTTTTGCAAAACCCATCTTGCGGTTCCCCAAACCACACCCACATAGTGATGTCATCAAAATTATGGATTAGTGCAGTGTCAGGAAGTCAGGAACCACGGGCTAGCTTATCTGCTGCAAGGAAATGCTGCATTGCAGCAGTAGAGTGTTGCAGGGAGGGGCTATGAGCCCAGGGACGCAGATGTGGAAGCGGGACAATCAGGAGATGAAGGACAGTGGGCTGGCTACCTAGGGAGTTAGAGGCCAGCCTGAGCTGTATCAGACACTGTTGTGTGCAACAAGAAACCACAAAGAGAAAATGCTGAGTTTTCTTGCACTATCCGGTTTATGCAAGGATTTTTTTTTGGAAATGACCTTTAAAAGCAAAAGGGATACTGTTTTGGCACACATTCTTCATCTTCCTCTCGGAGGAGAAACTGTGACCCAGGCTTCTTCCTGTCTTAGTGGGCCGCCCTACCGAAGCAGTGCTCTAGTGTCACCTACATAAAAACCTGTGACCTGCGATGTTTGCACTTAAATATGAGTGCTACAGGGACAATTACTAAGTTTAAGCCCTCTTTCTGGTGGAGGCTGTACCCAGAGAGATGATGTGTCATTTTTAGAGAGAATGTTGTTTATCAGGTGCAAGAATTCGTAGTATCATCACTACTATTTAACGGGTGTTTACATGCTTGTGTTCATATTATTTGGGAACAAAAATTTCTGAAATGAAACTGTATCTTGCTGTGAACAAAAGCCTCCTGGAAGGAGTTTCTGTTACTGCAGAGAATGATGGACCAATTGGAATTTATTACTGTGAAGAGGGTGGAGTTTTTATTTTTATTTTTTTTGCTTCAGAGGCTAATTACTTTTTCTTGGGCTAGTTTTAGATGTCCAGAACACTCATTCCTTGCCTGACTGTATTTGAACTAACATCTCCTGATAATAAATAAAACCCTCTTAGAAGCTAATATCTAAGCAGGTCACTAGTTTCGGCCAATCCACGAGCTGAGAATGCCACTAGCTAGTAGCTTGGGCCTACAAATAGCTCCCCATCTCGTTCTCCCAGCCTCCCTCGTGTACTCATCAGTGTATTTTAAATTTACCCTGATGTATGAGTTGCTTTGTTCTATAAAACTATAAACCTTCACAAAACTGGCTCCATATCAGAACATGGGATTTGAGGTAGCTGAAATCTGTTTTCCTGGGCCATGGTTACACAAAATAGCTCCGGGATGAACTATCTCCTATTCCTTTTAAGATGACAGCATCAACACATTAAATAATCCTGTTCAATTCTATTTTCGACAGGATTGCTATTACAATGATGAAACACCCTGATCAAAACAACTTGGGGAGGGGAAGGATTTATTTGGCTTACCCTTCTATATCACTGTTCATTATTGAGGGAAGCCAAAGCAATAACTCAAACCAAGTGGGAATTTAGAGGCAGGAGATGATGCAGTGGCCATGGCTAATGGCTTGCTCCATGTGGATTACTCAGCCTTCTTTCTTTCTTTCTTTCTTTCTTTTGGTTTTTCAGGACAGAGTTTCTCTGTAGCTTTGGAGCCTGTCCTGGAACTTGCTCTGTAGACCTGGCTGGCCTCGAATTCACAGAGATCTACCTGCCTCTGCCTCCCCAAGTGCTGGGGTTAAAAGCATGTGCTACCACCCACCGCCTGACTAACCTATAATTGTTAATGCCTATTTAGCTTAAAGACAAAAGCTTCACATATAAAAATAATCTTTAAACAGATGTGCAGCAATGAGGACAATGACCTGAATTTTTTTTTTTTTTTTTTTTTTTTTGTGGGGGGGGGTGTGGGTGGGGGGGTGTAGGGCCTCAGCTTCATGGAGTACTATGAGAATAAGATTCTGACCCAGAGTTAACTTGTTGGCTTTTCATTAAACTAGCAGTAGCTGCCACAACTCTTAGGTGGACCATCCTGTGACTACAGGGTCCAATCATTTGGACAGGTATGTCACAGGGAGTTTCCATGGCCCCAAAGTTTGGGTTAAAGCCTTTTTTTGTAATGTCTTTTGTTTTGTTTTGTTTTGTTTTCATGAAGAAACAGATGAAAAGGTTTTGAGACATCTGGAAGTGGAGCTGTTTTTAAAACCTCAAATGCCTTTTGTTTAGTCTCAGTCCAGATTAGGGACTTAGTGCACCTTTTTGTGCTGGTGTATAGAGACAGGCCTTGCTATTTCCACAAACTGTGGTATCCAGAGGTAG